TAATCTAATCAAGAATATGACACTACCTCATAATGTATGCGTTTATATGTTCAGGACCAATCCACTTATTTGGGGCTGCATATGGAAGATAAACACGATGGCCATGGTGCATGCAGAGATGGAGATGAAGTTCGCCGCGTTCTGGAATCCAATTCGGCCACCTGAGATAGTGTTGAATTCAAACGGTTGCAAAATATCCATATGGCCTCCGTTTTGGGCCCATGAGTACTTGATGGAAAGCTCTTGGAATCCTCTTTCCAATGGATCCAACCTCCAAATTCCATCTGAGTCATCGGTAATTGAAGAAACAATGGGCTGCATTGTCTGTAATGGGCCTATGGGCCTGTAACTTCATTAAGGTTCGTTTTGGGCCCACGAGTACTTGATGGAAAGCTCTCGGAATCCTCTTTCCAACAGATCCAATCTCATTGTCAAATTCCATCTGAGTCATCGACAATTAAAGAAACAAGGGGCTGCATTGTCTGTAATGGGCCTATGGGCCTGTAACTTCATCTGGGACCCCGGCCCAAGTGGGGTCCAAGGGGGGCTGCGCCCCAAACAGAGGGAGGACGCTCTTCTGACCTCCTCGATCCCTTAAATAGCTTGTAACCCCTTCAGGGTTAGTTGGGTTTTGTTTAGATGAAAGTTTAGCCATTGCTACTTCCTTGCAGTGCGCGTGTCGGCTAGACCGTCCGTCTGCTTGTATACGAAACCCCAACTTATCGTGTGTAGTCAATTCCTATTTGCAATATCAGATTGCTTTTATCTTGTTCTTGCTTGTTTCTTCGATTTGCTTGCAGGAATAAGGTTTATCTGCACCGGCAAGATCAACAACCCACGGAGAGGTGTATTGATCGCAAAGGCGTAACACAACGTCTTGTACGGTTGTAGTCAGGTCGTCAACGTCTTTTCCACAAGATGTAGTTATCTCAACTCACCGAAAGATCGGGCCAATCAACTGCCTTGAGTGTCGAGAGGAACTCAGGGTTCATCAATCCGGCCCAGGTGATGTTGGCCGAGGCCCAACAAATTAAGGTTGCTCGGACCCCAACAGTTCATAGGCACACCCACTCGGGGAAAGGCCCAATCACCCTAAAAGACTAGTCCAATAGGGGACGGGTGGCTCTCCCTTTTAAGGTGGCTTCCTCCTCCCAAGCTAAGCAAGGTGGGATTATTCAGAGGCTCGTACGGTCGCTGCCCGACTTTTGCGTCTTTGCCAGCGGGTAATAGTGGAGGATGTCCTCATCATTCCCACCCCCTTAACAAGGGGCCCAGCTCTGATACCAAATGATAACAATCCGGCCTAGGTGGGGTTGGCCGAGGCCCAACAAATTAAGGTTGCCCAGACCCCAACAGTTCATAGGCACACCCACTCAGGGAAAGGCCCAATCACCCTAAAAGACTAGTCCAATAGGGGAAGGGTGGCTCTCCCTTTTAAGGTGGCTTCCTCCTCCCAAACTAAGCAAGGTGGGATTATTCAGAGGCTCGCACGGTCGCGGCCCGACTTTTATGTCTTTGCCAGCGGGTAATAGTGGAGGATGTCCTCATCAGTTAGACTCTTGAACCATGTCACTGACCACGATTTGATAGTTCAGTTAAATGAGTCTACAATAAAATAGTCCCTAGCACACATGTGTGAGTCATGTGCCATGATCTATTGTATATGAGATTAGTTCCAATATAATCATGTGGGTTAATAGCTTACAAAACCAATCCTATAAACAAACCTAGCCGTTCCACCCTGTGTTATACCCGGGCATGAATATGCATGTACATATAAATTCCAATAAAGTATATCTCTATTATTTCTCTACTGTATTCCAGCATAGTCGTCCTCGGCACCTCGAGTATTAAATCCTCGAGTTAAATTCCACATCAATAATTCCTCGTCAAATGTAGTATAACTATTTTCCACATTGAGTTAAATAAATACCATAATATATAAATGTTGTAAGCCATATAAAAGTCCAACATCTCTCCCCCTGCTTGTGGATCTCTGAAGTAGCGAACGAGCAGGCAAGCGGGGGCGACATGTTATGTCAATGAATCCAAGGCATTGTCTTACATTGACCGCAAGAAAGTTTCCCTCAATGAGATCCATACTCAAGTAAAGGATCATTGTGAGGTTGTAGAAAAGGTGTTGTTTCACTGGTGCTTTCTCGGGAAATCAATGGCTGATGGACTTAGGGTTTTGCATGATGATAAGTCTTATTGTTTGATGATAGAGCATATACTACACAAGGAATTGTGGCATATATTTATGTTGAGTTGGTTGATATTGAGGAGATAGTTGCTGAGGCAAACATGGATGAAGTTGGTAGTGACTTTGAGCATTAGATGAAAGAAATTAGTGATAATGGTGATTCATATGACTATCCCGTAGAAATTAGGAATGAAGTTTCTAGATGCAGTTCACCACAAAGAAGAAGGCTACCACAAGTTCTACTATCAGCCCTAAGATATGATGGCAATGAGAAGTAAAGTCATTGCTACCAATTAGCCACTATTATGTATTGCCAAACTTATGCCTGTACTTTGTAATGCCGAACTTATGGCCTTTTGTAAGTTATGATGCCAAACTTATGGCCTATTGTCGGTTATGATGCCAAATATTGGCTTACCGTGTTCTAAATGCCAAATTAATTTTACTTCTTTGAATTTTTAGATAGGTTTTACACAAATTTTACACATATCAAACTCCTGAATCTTTTTGAGTGTTGCTCAGACTAGCAAAATACATGTTGACAAACAGATCAATTGAGTACACAACTAAAGTTCATTGCCATCGCATACATAACATACATACAGATCACCCATAAGGAGCTACCACTGTATCTGAAAGCATAAGCATGCCTATCCCCTAAGCCACAATGCAACTATCAACAATACTAATCCAGCAATAATTGACAACAGAAATTTCCTTCCCTCTTCTAATTCAAAAACTCTAGCACTAAGTTTACAAGCTGAATCATCTTTCTCCTTCAGTTTTCTTGTCTAATCAGCCACAACTCTCGCACATGTCAGATACCTCCAAGATGGTTTATCCACACTCCAAGAAATCCATCTTGCTGCTTTCCTACGACACTCGCATAGAACAGCTAGAGACTGTATTGAATCGGAGGCGGCTTGCTTCTACCTTCAGTCTCATTTTTTCGCTTATGCTTATCCTTATCAGCCAAAATTTGAATTTTCAACATTAAATTTGGAGTTGATTTTGGGGGGATTTTTTCATCATAGTTTATTTTTCAGCCTTTGCTTTTAGATCGTCAAGAACACATATATAAAAGTTTTATTCACAAATTATTTTTCATTTGAATATGCCGTTTGGCTTATTCAACGATGGGGCTGCTTGACTGGACCTGTTGCCGTTTCCAGAGCTGCTCGTGCCCCTCGATTTGATTGTTTAACTAGCTGAACATTCCACCAAGTCTTGTTGCTTCCGCCTCGCGCCAAGCTGCTTCTTCCATGCTCAGCCATCTCCGTGGGTGCCCGTGGCGACAACATGCAGAGGCTTCAGTCGACTACCGCGGGCAGCCTATCGAAGATGCTTCTTCACCGCGCAGTCGTCCCTAGCAAGCCTCCGCGCAACCCTGGTAGCGTCGCCTCAGCGCAACCCAAGCAGCGTCGCTGCCGCAGCCGCCACCGATGTCACTGACGCTCGTGAGAAGGTTATGCTAGGTCAAAACAGATCGAGCCAATATTTACTTGGCCCATATAATCCTGTGCGCTGATGTGGCGAGAGTAGACGTGGCATCTAACGTGTCAAAAACCACGATAAAAACTGATTGGGGGAGGGGGGTGTATTATACCCGGTTTATATTTCGGGGGTGTATTTTAGAGAAGCATAAAAGTTTAAGGGTGTAAAATAGACTTCTCCGTTTTTTACTTTATGCCATGCTTCCGGATGGCCTATTTTTAAATGTCATTTGTTTAAAGATTATTTTTCACCTAAGAGAAGATTCTAAATTCTAATGCCACTTTCTAGCTTTCAAGACTGTATCTGAAGAGAAAATGATAGTCTATCCTGTACGGCTATACTAAGTTGATATATTATGGGACTAGTGGGGTAAGAGTCCCATAATATATCAACCTAATACAATATATGTGCTATATTATGGGATGGAAGTAAATTTTTTTAGATAATAGACTTGAAAACCCGGTCTCTGTGTATCCAAATAAGTGTACACAGCCAAATCTATCACTCTCATCTAGCTAGCTAACTGTGCCTTGTCCCTGCATCGATGTCCTTTCTTTTCTTAGTATCATGCATGTCACTGATTGTCATACTGGCTCACCATCCTCCAACCTCCGTGCATGATTCGTGTGCTAGCTGTGTCTCAGCTTGTAGCTGCTTGGCCAACTCCAACTAGTAGGTAGTGCTAAGCTAAACTAAAGCAGATCGCTACACAACAACCACGTGGACAGTAAAATTGTTCGGCACTTCGGCCAGATTAAAATGTGAGCAACTGCCTCAAGTGAGCATTTGGTCTGAGGTAGAGTGACTGAGTGAGCAGTCCATATTTAAGGGAACAGTGCATACTGAGTACTACTGACAGTTCATCTCGAGAAGGAAAAAAAACATACGTGTCTAATCTCGTTTTCTTTGTTTAAGGGAACAGTACAATGATCTACTCCATTCGTCCCAAAATAAGTACAGTTTTAGCACTATTCATGTCCAACGTTTGTCCGTTCGTCTTATTTAGAAAAAGATTACGATTAGTATTTTTATTGTTATTAAATGATAAAACATGAATAGTATTTTATGTGTGACTATTTTTTTTAATATTTTTCATAAATTTTTCAAATAAGATGGATGGTCAAAACGTTGAACACGGATATCTATGGCTGCACTTATTTTGGGACGGAGGTAGTATCTACCTCAGAGTCTATTAAGCAAGTTACTTGGCAATCTCGATTAGTGTAATTAATAAAGTGATTCTACGAAAATCCTGAAATCTAAACCACAATTGAGGATGTGAAGGAATCATAGAAATATATAATAGAAGAACCAGCGCTACTCTGTGAACTGAATGCATATATTGATCCCAAAATCAAGGTGCTTCTCAAATTTACAAATCCCTCTCAATTTAATTGCTCCCATATGCATTCAGCAGCTCAAGCTAAGACCTAACAAATAGAGTAATATCCTAGCATTAATGCACTAACCAATCTCTATCACAAAGAAGAACACAGAAGAAAGAAAACAAACAAACAAACGAACAAAAAAAGAAAAACAAGAGTGACCGGCCATCAAGCAACAAGAGATGGAGAGAGCGAGATCCTTTCAAGGGCATTTGACATTCCTGCCGGGGCCGCCGTAGTAGAAGTAGCTGCCCCAGTAGGAGTTGGAGCCTCCCTGGATGTCGTAGCAGGCAGGGTGGTCGGCGAGGAGCTTGAGGTTGGCCGCCGGGATGAGGCTGTTGTCCCAGTCCACCACCTGCAGGTTGCGGAAGTAGGCGGCGCGGTCGAACCCCTCGCCGGGGAAGTGACCGCTCCCCATCTGCGTCGCCGTGTGCGACCCCGACGGCCGCGTGTTCACCACCTCGCCGCCAAACTGCACCATGTTGCCGTGGTGCGCCAGGTGGGTGAACAGATACGATGGCCAATACCCCACCACCATACCCGGGCCCAGCTCTAACCACCAGTGCCCATGCTTGGGGTCCTGAAAAAATAATACTTTTTTTTTCAAATGTGATTACATTTTTGACCTCTTCACGACAAACTATATACCCCCTCCATCCTATAATATAAGGAATTTTAGGTGAATATGACAAATCCTAGCACAAATATCCATATTTATTGTACTGGGATGTGTCACATCTATTTAAAATCATTTATATTATGGGACGAATGGAACATATGTGCCCTAGTGAAACTGAAAAGGATTGGTGCAGAAATCATTTTTGTTGAAGTTAGCTGCTTCAGTATACCAAAATTCTTGCATATGCTAATGCAGTTATCAAGAAATGGATAAAAGAGTTACCTTCCATAGCATCAGGGTAATGTCAAACTGCCTTCCGTTGTACACCGATTCTGGCGTGATAGCCGCGCCGATCGCGATCTTGTTGGTCGTTTGGACAAATCCACGGCAGTTGTGGTTGTAGCAACCGGTCTCTTGATATGCGTCGGTCTGAAAATTGTATGTACAAATTACTTCAAATTCTACCTTGAAAAACACAAAATTTTTTGTGACAGTTTGTAGCAGTCACACTTACTGTCCAATATGTGAAGAACCTTGGGTTACTGTCTCCATACAGCTCAGGGCTGACCTGCAGAAGGAGCAAAAGAAAAATAAATTACAAGTGCTCGTTCAAAATAGTACATATAATTATTCATCACTTTTTGTTTAAGATGGCAGAATCTAATTCCTCCGTTCATGTACCTGCCATCCAGCTTCAATGGTGTTCAGATCATTGCCGAAGGAGCCAGAGATAACCCAGATCTGTGACAGGCTGAACTCAGATGGGTCACCTATCCTTGGTGACCACACATTAACACTAGCTTTGGCCCCATAGTAATTATCATTGTTCACATATCCAACTGCATGCTGTAATTAACCAGAGCAGAAGCATGTTAAAAAGTTGATTTCAACCGGTGTTCAGTTTAGATTTGACCAGATTGGCAGCTCCAATCTTTGTCTTAGGGAGACTACTTAGTAAGTTAGTAGGGCCATTAAATGCTGTCCATATAAGACAAAACAAGAAAAATGTTAATTTGATGGTTGGGTCAAACAGTCCATGCTTCAAGAGGAGTTGATTTGCTCATCTGGATTAGCTTAATGAAGCTTCTGCACATGTACAAATATTAGTATTTTTCTTTCTCCGAACCACATGGGTTTTCTTGCTATGTTTTCTCTTGAGCATCTCTTCCCCAGAGATTAATTAAGCTTCTTGGTGAACTCACTCGACGTACTACGGACTAATTAGTTAAAGCGAGAATCTTTTCCATCCAACAAACTCTACTGTTGATCGAATTTTCTTATGCAATTCAACAAACGTCAAGCTCTTGAGTTAAACACAGATACTCGCATAATCTATAAACAAAATGAAATGAGCATTTCACTTCAAGTGTCCACTTAACTATCTTGGCCACAGAATCACACGACAGATTGGTTACTGAAATGAAAACAGAGGGAGCCTTCTTGGTCCTGACAATGAGTCGAAATTTTTCAGGAAGTCATCGCAACACGGATGCTAATTACTGAATTACAGAAGACATTGCTTGAGCACTATTTCCTAAGAGCATCGTGTTTAGCAATTTCACTATTGACAACAAAAATGTTTGTTTGATTGTAATAATAGTAACTAGGGAAGTCAAATAGCTAGCCTTGTAACAGGCCAATTAACCGAACCTTCAGTAGCTTAGCTGCACAGGGAAGTGATTACTTAATGTTATGTAAACGCATGGTTCTTTGGAATTACTTGGCTTCTCTGTTTAAATTATAGGCCTCTATATGAATTTGCTCTAGAAATGCGAGAACTTTGTCATTGACCTAGCAGCAAGCATCGATGCCTGACATGTAGAGATCTTACTTAAACCACCGATTATGGAAACTACTCTTTATTACTCAAAACCCAAGATGCGATGCACATGCTGCCACTTAAACCTGTAGTGATAGACACCTAAACAGGAGTCTAACCACTGCACTGACACGAATATTTCATTGGTCAGGTTGTGCGGTCAAGCAGAGTAGATCTGTACTGTAGCATGCCACTTGGGTCTAAGAAATTTTCGGCCTACAGATATGAACAAAACCGAGCATTGATCCTAGTAGCAAAGTAAAATTTTCTCATATGGATTTTTCCCAAGTGAAGCTTCTGCAGATTCATGCAGGTTGCTATCTTATTCCGACTGCATGGGCTTCTCTTTTGTATGTTTTCAAGTTTGGCACTTTAGTTAGTAATTAATCCCTGCAGGGAGTAACTTCTATGTGTTCCTTGCATTTTTTTTACAAGACAACTTGGAAAGATTTGGGTTCACAATGATATTGATCCCTGCAGGCTTTTTTTTTTTCATCCTGGGACGACTTGGTTTATTTGTCTTCAGGATTTGCAGTAGTGTAACCATATCGATGTTCACTTTCTTTTCTTTTCTTTTTTTTAAAAAATAATTTTAGGAATTAAAACTCGAAGTCATTAGTTAGTGACTTGTGAAAAAAAATTAGCTGCTTTAAATGAAGAGCTTTTACTTTCACAGTGTTACACTGTTACTCATCCTGAAAATTTTCCTTTGTCAAGAAGCGAGGAGACAGTAATGTGCAAGGCTAACCTCATGGCCGTTGCTGGTGGAATCACGGCGAATATTCCGGCGTGCCGGCTTCCTGCCGTACCTCCGGAGGGAGCTGGCCCTGAGCAGGTCCTTCTCCGTCGTCCGGCGTATCGCCACCGTCCCTTCCGGGCACTCCTCGCCGGCGGCATGCCAGGCCTGCACCACCACCTCACCTACTCTACTGCTGCTGCTGCTGCTGACGGCAATGGTGAGGTTGTAGTTCTTGGGCCTCTCCGGTGGGTCCTGCGAAAGAACACAAGTTACAAAATTCATCATCACAATGTTGGTTCAAAAAGATAGTAGAAGAAAGAACGCGTGGGTGTGTTAATTACCAGAAGCTTTTGTCCCTTGAGCTTTGGATGGTCAAATGCAGGTTGGAGATGAGAGGGAACACAGTCTATGAGATCACCATCTGGGCTCTGCAAATCTCAGCAGCAAACAAGTTAGCTAGAGATGTAAATGTTCAGTGTGAAAAAAAAAGAAGAAGAAAGATAACAAACAAGTTAGCAATGATGACCTGAATGGTCTTGAGAGAAGGCTTGTTGAGTTTCTTGAGGAGAGCCCTGATCCTCTTGTACTTAAGCAGCTCCTTCCCTGGCCTAAGCCTTGCAGCAGCAGTAGCATTACTGGCGGTGTCTTCACTGCTACTGCGCATGGAGGGCAATGCAGCAGTTCTACTGGCAGAGGAGATGAGCAAGAGCAAGGTGAGGAGGAGGAGCAAGGGAACAAAGTGGAAGCTACAAGCCATCCTCCTTTTGCTTCCACAGCTTGTCTGGATCTAGCAAGCACGCACACGCGCACACACACACAGTCACAGGAGAGAGTGGCAATAGTATGTGGTTGTCTTCTTCCTGTGCCTCCTCACCTCTCCTACACTGCTGCACCCTTTGAAGCAAGTGATCACTGAACTTTGCCTCACCAGCATCTAGCTAGGAGGAGGCTGCTGTTGCTGCTGTGTGTGTGTGTTTATATGCCACTGCTGCTGCTCCACTGCTCCACTACTATTCAGCAACTTGCAAGCAAGGTTTGTAGTTGTACTAGTACTATCGGAATGGAGGAGTGTAGGACAAGGGGGATCTCACTCAGATGAGTGTGTTGAGCTGGTACTGTACTGCTGGGTTTTGGCCCTTTTTTAAAACTTGCATGTGCAGGCAGAGAGTCGGGGTTTCCCAAAGTTAGGTGGTTTATTTAATTTCATGGTTCCATGAAGCCCTGCATTTGCCAACCAAGCGTGCAGCTAAAGCAAGGGACCCTGCTGGCTGCTGCTACCATGGGAGGACCAGGAGCCTGAGCTAGTATTTACTACTGCTATTGCTGTTCCTGTAGCTAGCCATGCTAGTGTTCAAAATCTTTGCAGCAACAGCACGGCTTTCCGCGGGTTAAAGGTGCACAACATTTTGTCAACACGAGTTCTGGTGGAGGGGTGGGGACTATAGCTGTACGTTGCTAGTTCTACCAGAGTTTTGCTACAAATTATACTACTATAGTAGTATTAGCAAAGGTCTGTTGAACATATATATATATATATATATATATATATATATATATATATATATATATATATATATATATATATATATATATTGTCACATCCACCCAAAATCTCTTATATTATGGGACAGAGGGGGGTGTGTATATATATATATAAGAGATTTTGGGTGGATGTGACAATCTGGATATGCCGTCTGTCCACAACCACATGCTATGATATACTAAAAGTGCATTAAACACAATCCAAGTTAATTAGATGGTAACATAGTTTAAAGCAGATACACGAAAGTTCATTTAGCTTGCTTAGATTATTTTAGCACATTTAAAAATCAATTCACGAAGTAATCCGATTTTTTCTCTAACTAAAGGCATTGGATTTTCTATGCATTAGTGGTTTGGACTATTCATATTTTAGTTAGTTCTATTTTATGTGCTTAGATAGTGTATATCTAATTTAGCTATGCATGTTTGCAAAAACAACATATGATGATGCGACATGTGTTGTTGGATCATTTCATAATTCTTTTACAAAAATTCAAATGACATGTAAAAGGCCAGGGGTGTTCTCCCTTAATAAAAAAAATTGTTTCGTAGTTCACTTTGTAATTTTTTTTGGATATTATTGATTTAATTTAGCTATGCGTGTTTGCAGAAATGATGTATAATGACGTAATATATGTAGCCAATTTGTTTAAGGTATTTCAATTATATTTGGATGTCGTGCAAAGCACATGACTGAATTTTGGCCAAATGCATATTTTGTATATAGCAAAATATAAGTATACGGATCTTAAATTCCTAGTTTAATTACAAAGAGAAGAGCAACAATTATATTAGAATTCAGAAATGTAGCTTAAAATTATGGCATGACACGTGGCAGCGTAAGATTTTTCTCGTAAATTAGATCTAGTGGTTGAAAATAATGGGTCCATGGATTTAATTAAAATATTTTATAATTTTTAGACATGATACATGGTGACTTAAGTGCGCTCTAAAGGGCATTTAATTGGCTTTTACTATATAAAATACTATCATTTTTTATAATGTTTCATTGTCATTTAATTTAGTTGTTATGCAAAGGAGTATTTCAATTTTTATATAGTAAAATACAACTATAATGGATCTTGAATTATTTAATTAATTGTTAATAAATCAATAGTTCAAACAAATTAAACATCAAATATAATTCTAGATATTATAAATCATTTAGCTATGATTTTTTATATTAGTTTGTTAATTAGATAAACAGAAGAGGAGAGAAGCGGGAGTCAGAAGAGAGAGTATGTGAGGTATACGTATAGCAGGAGGAGGGGTAGATATTTTTTTTCTTTGAGACATATTCCAACGGGTCCGAGCTTTTTAGTCTATTTTAAAAAGAGAGATCTAATTTTGGATATATTAGAAAATGTTGCAGGTATTGTATTTGCTACTATAAGCTATAAGCTAAATGTTGATAATTAGATGGTTTAAAAATATATGTAGATTTTTTTCTAAAAATTTATCGAGTGACTAATAGCTAGTCTCTACCAGTATAGGACCTAAGTAATGCATTTATTCTACTTTAATTTGTATATTGAATTCTAAATTTTGTTTTAAATAATCTCATGACGTGCATGGATAAAAAATTTAACCAAAGATTTAGATGGTATAATTGTTTAAAAATTATTATCACAAAATATGTTTCCATATACAGTACTAATTAAGAATGCTTGAAAATAGGGAGGTTGTCCTCGTGCATCAGGGTGAGGACTGGGGTATATGTTAATAATGTTTATGTCTATAACATATTTGATGGCTGGGGTTGGGTTGTGGGCCTGTTCTCCTTTTTCTTTACATAAATCTAATGGTAGAAAATATGAGTCCATCGCATATTAGTGAAAATCGACGGCTATAAGTTCTTTTCCTAATTTGCTAGAGTGACACGTGGCAAGTTGAGAGTGTTTGTAGGATGTCATGTGACGGTTTGAGAGCGTTTGTAGGATATTTAATGAACTTTTAGTATATAATAGATAGATAATAGATTTGGAGTGTTATTTCAATTGGGATTTAGGGTCAGGAGTATTCTCTCCATCCTATAAAAACTCAACATGGCATCAAGTACTACGTTGAGTTTTCGTAGGACATACACCCACGAATAGGAAGAAGGCTCTAACCCTAGCTGCCCTACTCCTGTTAGGCTGTTCCTCGTCCCCTCGCGTAGTACTGATCAGAATCACTCCTTGTGGTGTGGTGTATAGTTGTTTGCGACCAGCTATAAGCTGTGGAGTACTACGTACATCGCGTAACAACTCTTCTCTGATGCTAGCTGCGAGTACGTATCGTACCCAACACGGTGTGCAGCTGGCTGGGACAGTCAGCGAGACCACCGTACCCATCGCCACCGGCCGCCGCTGCCGGATTCCCTCAAGGCGTAAATGACCGGCGCCGTCGCCGTCGCATCGTCGCATGCAGCTGGCTCACTGCTTTGGATATCGAGGACGTCACCCTGTTTGAACTGTAAAACGATAAAATCATTTGCGTTTAAGTTTTAATTATTATAAACATACTTAAAAATTGGTTTTATATGATATTTTAATGCAACTTCTATTTAAAAAGTTTTCGTATAAGTACACCATTTAACGGTTGAATAACATGCTTAAAAAAACAAAAATAAAATATATATCTTAATGAGAAAAAACAGTTCCTCATCTTCTCGGGCATTGATGACTCACTGCTTTGGAGATAAACTTGCAAATATACTGCATGCATTAGAATGCATGTCAGTGAAATTATTAGGTTGTATTTAGTTCCTGAAATTAGGGAGAAGTTTGGAGAAAGTTGGTAGTTTGGAAAAAAAGTTGGGAGTTTATGTGAGTAGGAAAGTTTTGGATGTGATGAAAAGTTGGAAGTTTAGAGGAAGTTTGGTGTGAACTAAACAGGGCCTTAATTGCATTAAATTTCAACCAACTTGTACTAGAAATATAGGAGTGTGCATGCTATCAATCACCCCGTCTCAAAATACTCTCTCCGTCACAAAATATAAGAATTTAAGACTGGATGAAGCATTTTCTAGTACTACGAATCTAGATAAGCAGGCTATCCTAATTTATAGTCCTAGTAAATATCTCATCCGTTTCTATATTCTTATATTTTAATATAAGATGGAGGGAGTATATAGCAACCTAGAACTATGAGATTGATTTGACTGTATCCATGTCTAGGTTAATAGTATTATGACATATTCAAAGCATATCTTCTATACTATTTTTTATTAAAAAACCTTTTAAATAGAAGTTGCTTTAAAATATTAAATATTTTTTTTAGTTTTGTAAACCCAATTAAAGATACGCCAGTAGCTTTTTTATTTTACGTGCACTGACTTTATCTTTTTCTATCTCAAACATCACCCATGTTATGTCTTAGCTCCATTTGCATATGTACACATGCACTAGCTAGTGTTCCACAATGGAGGACGAAGAAATTCAACGACCAATTGTACAGCCGTCTCTTCATTGGTATGTGAAGGGTGGCAAATCAATTATGCACATATTATTATTCATGATCAGCAATTCAGCAGGACCAATTAGCAACGACTTTTGTCATGATAGCACATGCTGCAACCAAGAATAATCATATAGCTCGTTAGGGATAAGTAAGGGTTTGAGGCTTCAGATTTGTAGCACTAGGATGTCTCACTCCTATCGAACAAAAATCTTTTATATTTTAGGACGGGGGTGTACATCTAAAGCTTGCATATATGCATGCTTCATGGTTTTTGAATCTTATTTATATTGTTTAGTTTTGTGCAAAAAAAATTCTCTTTGATATGGAATAGATAATATTTTTGTGTTGTGTTTCTTATATATATGCTCGTCCACTTTCATATGCGGCACAAAACATATGCATGTTTATATTTTGCATAAGTGATTCTTCTTTTAAAAAAATACGTTACAAAAACAATTAAAACATGTCAATGGGGCCAATAGTTACCAGGCACTCACTACTACAAAAAGGGTAAAATGTGTCGGTTTTCCAAACTGGCACAAAGGAAGCGGCACTGATGATACTTGTCATCGGTGCCGGTTCTAAAACCGCACGTATTAGGTAATAGGTGTCGGTTTTGAGGTCAAAACCGGCACTTATATGGTCCTAATAGGTGCCGGTTCACAACCGGCACCTATATAGTCCTAATAGGTGCCGGTTTTAGGCCAAATTGCCACGTGGCTGTCAAATAGGTGCCGAACCTATATGGTCCTAATAGGTGTTGGTTCTAAGCCAAATTGCCACGTGGCCGTCAGATAGGTGCCAGTTTTGAACTCAAAACCAGCACCTATATGGTCCTAATAGGTGCCGGTTCAAGCCTAAAAACCGTCACCTATTTGTTGGGTCAAATAATAATAATAATTGCAGTAAATTCATCCATTCAACCCCAATTCCATATAAACCCAAATTCATCCCTACAGGCTACAGCCCCACATACATACAGCACATTCATTCACATTCGCATTCATCAGAACAAATAAAAACCTACAAGCCATTCATCACAAATTCACAACATATAAAAACCTACAAGCCTAAGTCAAAATTCATAAATCCAAAAATTGCTATCT